TATTAATTACTCTTCATCTCAAACGAGATTTCCGATCGTCTTCGTTGTGATAATTAAGCTATTTCTGCGGGTGTTTGCATTTTTCGTGATGCGCATAAGGTGGTGAAGGATTCGTCGAGAGATTCTAATGGAGTTCACCGGAATGCTTTGGTGCTATCCGGAAGCAAAAGACCGTCGTACGAGTCTTTTCGGAGCTGTGACGATCGTCGATTTAGCAATGCCAATAGGTGACTGTAACCAGACCCAAGAGCCAGCTGAGGGCGGTCAGTAAGCTCGAAGAATGTGAAGAAACAAGAAGTCAAAAATCACTTACGGAATTGAAGAATTATAGAGGCCCTTTACGTGGCCTGATTAAAGTGGACGCAAAGTAAGAAGAGGAGTGGTACCATTAACAAACGTGGTCGAACTCATATCCATCTCAGAAATCACTCGGCCGAATAAAATCAAGTGTAATAAGTAAATGTCACCAGCAAAAAATGAATGTAATTCTCGAAGAAAAACATATACGAAAAAGCTAAACGAACCAAAGTAAGTCATAACACAAAAAAATATATATATGAGCCGTAAAGCAAAAGAAGTCGTCGGACGCGCAAAGCTACTCTTCGGAGTGGCGCCATCAACAAACGTGGCAGAACTCATCTCCGTCTCAGAAATCACTCGTCCAAATAAAATCAGGTGTAAAAAGTAAATGGCACCAGAAACAAATGAATGTAATTCTCGAAGAAGCAAAAAACCTGTATATGAACAGAGAGACCAAGAGCAAGCCGAAGGTGGAACACAAAAAAAGGGCAAACCTGTAAATGAATCAAGAGACAAAGGCCTAGCCAAAACACAAGAAAGCAATTCCAGATAAAGGAGCAACAACACATGCAAAAGTTTTTGAAGAACTTGTTCCCTCTTGCAGATTCACAGCCAAAAAACAATAACCAATTACAGTTTCAAAGAATAAATTGTAAATAATAAAAGAGCATAACGGAAACAAAAATTATGGAAATCCCTATACATTTCAAAAAATTATGTTATTGGTTACAGAAATGTACTAATTCTGCAACTCCCTATACATCTAAAAAAAATGATATTGGATAAAGAAATGTGCTTATTTAGAACCATATGCCAGCGAGCAAGACAAGGCGCTAAACAAACAAAAACAAAAACAAAATCAAAATTACTCAATGAGCAAGAAAAATTCTTAAATACCCAAAGTAACTCGGTTTTTCTGATATCTTGTAATAAACAAAACCTGGTGCTATCCTATACCAGTGGCTTTCCATTATCCCGACTTTGAGGCCTGATTTGACCTTTCGCCATTGGGGTACTTCCGCTCTCTCTGGCTGAAGATACACACCTCCTCCTCGCCGAAATTGTCCTGCCTGAAACAATATATGATTGAGACGACCGCACCTTCTCGTAAATGGTGTTGGACGAGGTTGGCTCGGTGACCAAGGGCTTGCTTATTAGTTGGGTTTGCTTCTACCGAGGCTATGTTCAGGAAATTGGGCCTTTTAGTTAAACCAAAAAGAACATTTCATATTAGCAGCACATCGATAGTTCATTAGGCACAACTACTAACACAGCTAACTTTAGAACATAATTTAGCAGTGCTAAAGCAGGCAATATCATGTCCAAATAGACAACTTCATCTTTGAGATTAATAACTTCTAATTAAAATAAGGTTGAACACGCCCCATTGGAGTTCTTCTCTTTACATAAGTTTCTGAAGGCAAGACATAAAATCTTGACCCTATGGGCATATATGGTGGTTATTGAAACCCAAAAAACACCGAAGTGGGGAAATTTAATTGCCGTTATTTTTCTGGAGTATATCAAATAATAGATAAAAAACACAGAAGAAAAAACATCAAATTCCTCCACGATAAGGAAAGCACACACGCACAAAAAGAACGGAACAACAAAGACAACAAATTATTATCTGGAAGTGCTTGCTACCTTTGAAGTGGTGAACACGAGCATCCTCGTTAAAATCTACAACCTGTTATTGACCAGGTAATTTGGAAATTGGTATTAATAGAAAAAGAAAAACATTATGACCAACGGGAAAGCAAAAACAAAACAGAGAGAAAGAAAATGAAACTCACAGGGCAATTGCAAATTGTTGAGAAGTTGCTCTGAATCCGCAAAGAAATGGGAAAACAGCTTCGAATACAAAATCCGGGATGCTCCATTCTTATCTAGAAAACCAGTACAAAATGGGGAAGAAAAGAAAAAAAACAAAAAGTAAAATACCTCGCGATAATGAGAAGTGGAGAGGTGAACATTCCACATCCTAATCACTGACAATAAAACTACTGTTAATAGCAATCGAAGATATAAATTTCTATTTATCACAACTCTTAAAGATTTACAAGGAAAATAATTACCATTTCACTACAACAAAGACAAATCCATGTAGAAACCTCTGCATAGTCTTGCTTCATAGTTCCTTTATGAAAAAAACTCCTGTTAAATAGCAATCAAGGAAACAAAAGACAACATAATGGATAGTGTTTAATCTGTGCAAAAAATGAAGTGTTTAAATATGAGTAAACACTGATAGATATCAGGAAAACAAGTTTGCAACTCGAATTAGGCACATAAAAATAGCTGCATCATTACCAAACAAAACAAGAAGAAATGTATATACGAGTAATAATAGTTATTTTATTGACATTAATTGTAAAGAACATCGGTTCACTTCGACAACGGATCCGTGAACTGAAAAAGATGATGATAGATCCAAATCAACTAAAACAAGACTATTTTGTTAGCGTCGCCATTTTTTGTTTTGGGGCCTCTTCCATTTTCTTTTTTGGGGCCTATTTGATTCATCTCCATAGAACCATACCATCCCAGTACAATATTTCTATAGTGTAAATTCATTCTCTTTGCTATATGTTGTGCATGTACTAATAATGTATAAAATTACGACAACAACGTAAATAGATCACCATAACCATGCCTACAACCATAAAGCAGAAGCACAAGTTCCCAATTGAAGGGAAGACCTGAGGTAGCAGCACAAAAGCCTGAATAAGAACTAAGACGTCAAAAAATCTGAAAGTTCAACATATTCAGGGCATATGTTTTGGTGAATGAATTTCGGCACATGCACAAAATAAAAATTTAGGAATTATACCTGTAATTAAATTGGGCAACCGATTGTATTTGCGAACACACTGACGTTTTACTTCAGTAAGTATGCAGCAAGCAGCCGGTAGAGCACGACGTAGAGCACGACAACATGAGCATACCTGCCAGGCGATATGTCCACTAGTTAATAAGAAAATTCAGTGGAAAATTACTGCAAGAAAACAATTTTTTTTAAATACGAACGTTCATGTAAACCGAAGAGAAACAGCAGCACAGTTCATCTTTCCCATTAACCACCGACAACAATAATATATGGAGCGAGGTTAAGGTCGAGAGCACAGGTGCTTTAAACGTCTGAGGCGGCAAACTGGAGCGGTTTGGTGGGAGGCGCTTCGGCGGAAAGTATTGGGTTGCAGAGCAAGTGGACGGCGCGATGTTTTGCGGGGGGCAAATCTTGTCTCGCCGATAGTACGCAAACACTCTTCGAAACAAGTAAAATCAGCAAATGAACTATCTATAGCCAGCAAACTTTAAAACAGACCATAATGAAAATAAATGTAACACTTTTCTCCCAGCTGGTGTGGTACTCTAGAGGATGAAAACGAGGGCTTCAATTCAGAATCCTCTGAACCGATCTCGAACTGAAAAATAAGGAATAATTCACAACAAACAATAAAAGAAAACAAATTGAAGTATAAGCTTCCAATCACACTCTGGAATCTATTTGACGAGCAAAAGGACTTAGTTATTCCACAAGACAAAAAAGAAAAGGTAATATTCATCGTAATTAAATTAACCAAAAGGCGGTACAAACCAAGACTGTGATCGTGCCTGAATGAACTCTTTCCATCGCAACCGAATATGACAACTGAAACTTAAAAAGTAAATCAATTCTTTAAAGTTAACGAACAAAGCAAAACCGCCGAAATTTACACCTCTAGACAATGTCAATGTGAATTCATTATGATGATAAAAGAAAATACGTAAAACAAAGGTTATCCAGAACCCCACTCCCACTGATAGAATTTACTATGCATAATAAAAAAAATTGTGATTTAATTAATTCCAACAAAACACCCATCGAAAAGAAAGAAGCAAAACATGAAAAATGGAACCCATAATAGCAGAAAGTGGCAATCTTGAAATAGCTTCGAAAGCCCAAAGAATGTACGTAGCAGAAAATTTACATAAAATCATGGGAACTTGATATGGCAAAAGAATAAGGAATTGAGTCAATAGTCGCAGGTGGCAGAGAGAAGGAGGTGGGGGCTGTACAGCAAACTTAGGTGGCGAAGATGCAGGATAATATTCAAAAAAAAAGAGGAGGTGGCGGGCGAATATCAAACAACGTGGCAAAGATGCGACAAGCTGCTGCTGGTGGCGCCAGAAATTGTAGGCCGCCGACCACTGACCCAGAAGGGGAGCGCGGAAAGAAGTTTGCAAAACAAAGTTGCGTTTTAGGCAGCGGTTTGGGGAAAAAAAAACCCTGCTGCAAAACGCAGGCGGGCATAGGGTGACCAATACATTATTATTTATTGGTCCAATAATACAATTGAATTTTCATTACATTATTTAATATTCTTATCTTGGTTAATCTTATCTTATGAACCAAACAATGCCTAAGAAAACTAACCCGTTTTTGAACAGAAAAACAAAGTAGATAGACCAAATACCTGCACAGGGTTTGCTACAATAAGAGTACCACCTATGGCACCTCCAATCATATGGCCATCAGGACTACACAGCACCTGTCCGAATGCGGCGCCCACCGCTTTCCGAGAGAAAGTACGAATCGGACAAGCACAATATCTCAAAACGACACTATTTATCTAGAAATAGCAAGTCAGAAAATAAAATAATGATAGCTCGAACAAAAGGACAGACCATAAAGTAATTACTTACAATCAACATGGACAATCTAGGACTGAAAAATAACCTTCAACTTCAAAGCTTCACGAAACAAAAAAAGTGTATTTAAATTATTAAAAATGAAGTTGTAGCCGGACAAAAGTTTAAAGCTTCACGATTATTGGAATTTTCTATTACAAAACCTTCTAAGAGAAACATCAGCATCTTTATTAAAATGGTAAATAGATGCTTCATAGTACGTACTAAATATGCAACCAAAGTGGCACACAATTTACAATTATGCCATTAATTCATTAACGAAAAAAATTTATTTGGTTAGTATAAAGAAGTATACGAGTAGAAAATGCATTAACCTGAAACGTAATATTGGCACCAGAAGTTGTGGGCTGGCGTAGTGGCACCGAAGAAACCGATCCACTACCTGCCATGATGCATAACACATCTCGGTCTCTGTCGTGCAAATGCCAGTATTTTTGCCGCAATATCCTGTACACGACTTGGCAATTAATAATTGCAACATAAAAATTACTACTGCAAATGGACGGATTACCGAATAAAATTGAGATAATTAATTAGGGAATGCAGCAAACTTACCTCTCCGACTCCAACGTGTAGTACATGTGGTGTAAATGCTAGTCCCGCTGAAGCGTTCATCCATTCGCCTGATTAAAGAATATTTTTTTTTGTTAAAGTTCACGTCACACTGACAAAGATTAAGAACTTACGATAACTAAATCGATACGAATATTGAAACATGTGCATTTAGAGGAAAACGAAAGCCAATGTTCCCTTAAGACGCGTACTTTCGACGACAAAAATTGGCGATCCAAATTGACAACGTTTTTTGGTTTCACTTTGGCGGAATTCTTCCACAAGTTCGACCGTATAAGATTGTTCCACTATTTAAAGTATTTGATTCTTCATTATTCCCCTGCATTCATATCCCTAGGTTTGAGCCAGCACAATTTTGGGCACGACAGTATAAGATTGTTCCACTATTTAAGGAATTTTATTGGTCGTTATCCCCCTGCATTCATATCCCCGGCCTAAACTGAAGCAGCAACTTATGAATAATGAAAAGAGAAACACATACAAATTATAAACCGAATTCCATAAACCACAAATAGCCAATAACTATGCAGAAATTATCCATGTTTATGAATTGGCATTCAGAAATGGAAAGTTAAACGCATACGCATACGCATCCACATGGGGCAGAGAATTACAGGCAATTAGGCGCGTAGTCAACCCCACGAATGAAATCCAAACAGACTCGGACCTCCACAGCTTCTACTCCCTGCCCTTACCACACCTATAAAAAAGTTAAAAACTATTAGTATCAGGACTGCCAACTAACTACCCGTGTTCTTCCGTTGGGAAACTTGCGAAAACGTTTGGCAGCGTGAAGGTACAACCTGAAGCTGAAGGCAGCAAGTAGGACCTGGAGAGATAATACAAAACGACCACCATTTTCAGCCTATGACTATGGGGTTCACTCCAAACTATAGTTCAATGTGATCGAGTATCATCAGAATAAAAGACCAAAGAATTTATCCTCACAAATAGTAAAATATTTGCAAACAACACGATATATATACTCATTAATCAAAATAGCCATTTTAATGAATTTTATCCCGGAAATTTGCAGAATATTATTTATAATGACCAGTTAACCGGACCCAAGAGCCAGCTAAGGGCGGTCAGTAAGTTCCAAGAATGTGAAGAAACAAGCAGTCAAGATCCACCTAAGGAATTGAAGAATTATAGAGGCCTTTTAAGGGGCCTGATTAAACTGAACTCGAAGGAAAAAGTGACGTGAAGAAAAAATACATCAAAGCGAACCTGGTGGTGGCTGCTGAAGAAACCAACATCAGCAGCCATATTTTGAAAATAATCATAATCAAAATTGAGAGCACAATAAACATCCGTAATTTCGGAACCGAGAAAAATAGACTGAATAAAAAAGAAGTACATTGTGTAACAGAAACAAGAACGCACTAAATAAATGAGAATTTTACCTCTATAAATCCTGGCCGTCGTACCATGTCCGCTGATTTTTTCCTCGGGAGTCGTACAATTTCTACAAACATAAAAACAGCAACAAGACATTAAGTTCAAATAATCAAAAAAATGCAAAAACCTAAACGAACCAAAGTAAATCGTAAGAAAAAAAATATATATATAAGAGCCATAAAGCAAACGAAGTCGCCGCAAAGCTACTCATCGGAGTGGCGCCGTCAACAAACGTGGCTGAATTCATCTCCATCTCAGAATTCACTCGCCCGAATAAAATCAGGTGTAAAAAGTAGATGGCACCAGCAAAATAATAATATAATTCTCCAACAAGCGGGAAACCTGTATATGAACAGAGAGAGACCAAGAGCAAGCCGGAGCCGGGGAAAAAAAAAAAAAAAAAAAAAAAGGGCAAACCTGTAAATGAATAGAGAGACCAAGACCAAGCCGAAACACAAGAAAGCAAGTCCAGGACTACTGACCTGGCAATCAGTACCTACAAAGCAAAGCCCTCAAGATTCCAATTCCCGAAGTACAGTAAAAAAATTATGATACAAGGAAACGACTTTCAAATACTGGCAACAGCCGTTGCCATATATATACAGTTATATGATACCAAAATAATCCGACTCCCCCATTGAAGGAATAACGAAGGAGAGAACATGCATCAAAATAAAATTAAAACACCTTATTGGTAGTAAATGTCTACAATGAATCAATCTTTCATCAATCCTCAGCAAAACAAATAACCGGTGAAGATAAGAAACCAATATCAGCCACATCAATATTGACAAAAAATTACAGGGAAACAAATGGCAAAATAATCGAATTAAATGGTAAATATAGGAACTGATTAGTAGTATTACCCAAATAAACGTAATTCCCAAAGGCCTACAAGAAAAATCAATTCATACACCTGCAAGAAAAAGCAAGCCCAAGAATAGATAAATGTGTAAATTCAGGTTGTAAATTAAAAAAAAAAATAATAATAATAATAAATAAATAAATCAAGCGAAAGATATTAAGAAATGATCGAAGAGAAGTAACCGATAGGGTGAAAGTTGAGAGAACAGGAAAACCGACTGTCTCAGAGGGTGTGTACAAAGCTCGCTTGTAACCCAATTCAAATAATAATCAACCAGAATTTAGTAGAATACCTCCTACATCCCCAATAAAGGCGTAGATTTTTTTGGAAGTTCTCCTTGAAAAAACAGCAACGAAACACTGTAAACGTTGACCGATCGCAAACATCTGCTATCTGTCGCCGTAGCAACCGGCTGGCCGAGGTTGGTCGGCGGGCGTCGGGATGGTATGTGAGCAGTAGGGGTTTTAGGAAATTGAGATTGATTTATCTGTGGTCTGAGCCAGAAAAAACGAAGGGGCGGGTAGGGGTGATGAGGACAGAGGGAGACGCAACACGTAGGACGAAGAAAACGTGAAGCAGACAAGAGGAAGAAATAGGCTGAAGAAAACATCAGATAGGCTTGCCTGGTGTCGGGACTTGAACCTTACAATAATAGTAAAAGAGGCGGTGGAGGTTCTTGAATGAAGCGGCGGCGGACAGCAGCGGAGGTCAACAATTGTTGGCCAATCTCTAAGCGTCGAAACGGCGTCGTTCCGCAAGAAACGGACTGTGAAAGGGAGCCGACATCGACGGAAGCAGGACGTGGAAGGCCAGAAGGAGGTCAACAATAGCTGCCGCGAATATTGTAGGCCGCCGACCACGATTGGGGCCCAACATCGATCGAACCGGCGGTGGAGAGAGGCGTTGCTGACCGGCGGTGGTGAGTTGGCAAGGATGAGGAAGCAGAAACGACGTCGTTTTGAATGAAGCGGATTAAAAAAAAAAAAGAAAAAATCAAGCAGGCACGACACGGTCGAGCAGCTTGAGAAATAAAGGGAAAAGAAAAGATTCTGCAAAACTGATTGGACCGATGGAAGGAAACGGCGGCGTTTAAGCACTAAATGGGCCAAAAAAAAATGATAAAGAAAAGGCCTAAAAAAAAAGGGCAAGATCCCTATATTATATATATATATATATATATATATATATATATATTTATATATATATATAAAAAGACAGACACTCGAACATGTCCGAGTAGCC